AATAATTAATTATTATGATGTAATAATATTTATTTATAGAATATACTGTATACATATATTATAATGATACATATTATTTTTGATTTACATAGAACTTTAGGTCAAGAATCGCTTAAAAATCTTATGAAAGATGGCTCTCTAGCGAATTGACCCAGTGTTTCTAACAATAATTCACGAATTTCGCCAGTAGCGTATGAAATATTACTCATTCTGAAATTACGTTGATCACGATTTGGTGATGTTGGAGCGCTGGGATCAAGTTGCAGAACATTATCGAAATTAGGATTAGAAAATACTTCGTTGAATGCATGAGATATTGGACTGTTTGATGGTGGTGTCAATCTTTCAATCAAAAATAATAAATAAAGTTCTTGTTGTAGTTTAAGATATGGACGAAGTGTACCAAAAACTGTTGAGATAACACGAAGCGTCAATGATAACAATGTAATGTTTATTATAATAATGATTATTATGATTATGGTGATTTTGTAATTGTAATTTTACTAAAATTATAATTTTAAATAGAGAAGAATAGATGAAGCAATGAGAGAAATGCTTGAATCGTTTAGATTGCCAGGTGAGGCACAACAAATTGAAAGAATTATGGAAACTTTTGCTATAACTTATTTTGCTACTAAACCAGGTATAATTATATTATGATAATCATGATTTTTGGATATACTTTATTCAAACTAATTATAAAGAGTTTTTTTTAAAACAAAAAGCTGAAATTGCAACACAAGATGCTACATTTGTTTTAGCTTATTCAGTTATATTGTTGAACACTGATTTACATAATCCACAAGTTCGAGTATGTTATATTTTTTTTTTTTTAAAAAACAATTTCTAAATTTAAATTGACAAGTAAAATTTATTCCATTCATTTGATTAGCGACGTATGGGGATTGAGGATTATATGAAAAATTTAAGAAATGTTAACAATGGACAAAATTTTGCCACAGAATATCTAGTAAAAAAATTTTTTTTTTTGATTTTTTTTTTTGATTAAAATCTCTATTAATATTTATAAATCGTTTTTTAAAATAGCAAGCAATTTATGATGCTATTCGCAAAAAAGAAATAATAATGCCTGAAGAACATGAAGGTCAACTGGGATTTAATTATGCATGGAAAGAACTGTTACATAGAGCCGAAAGTGCAGGTAAATAAAATTTATAAAATTCAATTGAAACTAATGAAGTGATAATAATTTAATTATGTTTAACTTTTTATAGGGCCATTTGTAATATGCAACGTTCCTTTGTACGATAAAGATATGTTTACAACAGTATGGAAGCCAACAGTAGCAGCTATTTCCTTTGGTAAAGAATTAAAAAAAAAGCTAACTTCATAATTATATCAAATTTTATTTATACAAAGAAATGATTTACATAATATTTCATTTATTATTATTTTTATTACTATTATTAGCATTTAGTACAGCACCAGACGATGCAACTTTACAAAAAGCTATTAATGGATTTCATCGATGTGCATTATTATCAGCCCAATATAAATTATATGAAGTGTTTGATTATATAATTATGTCGTTGGCAAAGATGACAGAACTTCTTGGCTCTAGATATTCAAATGAGACTGCCAATAATCCGATTATTAAAGTTCAAGATATTGATATCACAGTAAGTGATTTGACAATTCAATTTGGAAGAAATTATAAGGGACAACTAGCTGCTGTGGTTTTATTTGCTGTTGCTAATGAACATGGAAATGTATTGAGAGATGGATGGAAATACGTAGGTTTATAATTTCATATTATTTTCAATTAAATTAAATAAATTTTATGCAATTATTACATTTTATATCAATATTTAGATTTTAGAAATTATAAAAAATCTTTTTGTAAATTCATTATTACCAAGTTCAATGATACAAGTGGAAGATTTTTTAGCTGGTACAACAACAATTCCACTTAAACCAAAAACTACTACATTTTCAAAACAAGAAAGGCGTGACAACTTTTTATTATCGGCATTATCCTCATATTTGTTATCGCCATATTCGGGTAATTATGAATCTTCAAGAAGTGCACCTACCAAAGAAGAAATAGAATGCACCATGTGTACAGTTGATTGTGTTAAAGCATGTCATTTAGATGATATATTTGCTGACATAAGGTTTGTGTGTAATAAAATAATTAATTATTATGATGTAATAATATTTATTTATAGAATATACTGTATACATATATTATAATGATACATATTATTTTTGATTTACATAGAACTTTAGGTCAAGAATCGCTTAAAAATCTTATGAAAGCACTCAAATTTATTGCAGATGGAAATACAACAACAAAGATCAATGATGTTACTAAATTATCATATCCGCCAATACCTCATACCACACACCCAACTTCTACTGATCAACAACAGTCACCAAAAAGTAGTTCATATGATCCTGCTGCTGTATTCTTTCTTGAACTAATGATAAACGTTACATTACAAAATAGAGATCGAATTCAATATTTATGGTATGTAATTTATTAATATATATATATTTTTTTTAAATAGATAATAAAATAAAAGTTTTTTGCCAAACGATTGATTATTTAGGCCGATTCTTTTTGGACATATAACTGATATTTTAAAAGAATCTCAAAACAATAGTATTCTATTAGTTGAGAGAACAGTTGTTGCATTACTTAGATTGTGTATTCATCTGACACACAAGGATGAAATGATATCTGATATTTTGTTGGCATTAGAACTATTGGCTACATTGCCAGATGATGTAATAAATTCTGTTGGCGAACAAATGATGGCAGGAATATTGAATATTATCAAATCAGATCCTTCATATATCAAAGGGAAAAGACCACGAGAACCAGTTTTCAAATTACTTAGAGCAACTTCAACACACCCACAAGCATCTAAATATTCATTTGATGTTATTACATTATTAATAAAAGAAAAAAAAGGTATCAATCTTGATAACTTTAATGATTGTGTAGAACTTTTGGCAGAGTTCGCTTCAGCTGCTACATTTCCAATAGATCAACAAGAAAAGCAACAGTTCGTTGAATCACCGAAACCAAAAAATTCAAGAGATAATCTTACTAAAACGTAAGTCTTTTGATTTTTTTCAAATGTAATTTTGAAAAGAAAAATTTAATTTATTAATTAATTTATCATTATTATTTTTTTTTATCGCTAAAAAAAAGTCAATCTGCTATTATAGATAGAGCAAAAGAAGCTGTTGTATTGATGGATATATTATATGTTGAAATACCAAACCTGCTCAGTGAAACTGGTAAATCACCAAGAGAAGCATGGTCGAATTATTGGTTACCAATTTTAACAGGATTCAGTCAACAATGTTATAGTCCATGTTTTGAAGTTAGACAAAATGCAATAGCATATTTGCAACGGTCACTTTTAAACCCACAGCTTGTATCACATGGTGGCACGGAATGGGTATTAGTGTTTGATCTTGTGTTGTTTCCATTGTTAGATCAACTATTAAAACCAGAAATATATCAAGCTGACCCAGTTGGTATTGATGAATCTAGGATAAGAGCTTCGGCATTATTATGTAAAATATTCTTACATTATCTGAATAGGTTGATGGAATGGGGTGGATTAATTACATTGTGGTCACAAATTTTAGACGTAATGGAAAAATATATGTTTACAGATTCATTGGTAAGCATTATCGTTTATTATTAGTAATTATACTTGATTAGAGTTGTAATTTTTTTGATTTTTTTGATTTTTTTAGAGAGAAGCAGTTCCTGAATCATTAAAGAATATGTTATTAGTAATGTCAACTTCGGGTGTTTTAATTCCACCAGGTTCATCATCGAATAATGAGAATAATAATAAACTTAATGACAAAACATCAATTGAAATATGGGAAATTACATGGACAAAAATTGATAAATTTTTACCAAATCTTAAAACAGAATTTGAATCCAATAATAATAATCTTTAATTTATTTATTTTCAAATCTTTAATTTATTTTAGACGTGGTAACCTAGTTAATCAAGAACATAAAACATAACTAACGTTTTTGTAAATTTTATAATCAATCAATAAAATTTTTTAAAGAAAACAGGCTTTAAAAAAGGAATGACTACTGTTTCTTGTTTATTTCTTTCGATCATCTTTGCTTTTCTCTTGTCTGCTTCTCAGTAAAAGACGAACTTTTCGGCCGATCCCCTCTTGACCCAAACATTAATTTATGAATTTCAATCCTTCCTTCCTTGCTTTGTTTAACTACCCATCTTCTTTTCCTTCAATCCTTACTGGTTTCATGATATTCTTCAGTTTATCGAAAAGAATTATATAGTTGATGGTTCGTGGTCCAAGTTTTTATTAATCCTGAGAACATTTCCTGTTTTTAATGATTTTTCAGTTATCAAAGTCATTTCATAATTATAAAGGTCCAATGAATAATCATAATAATCTAAATAATAATAATATCCGGTTACTTTATATTAATAAAAATCTGAAATTCGATGAAACATAATCTCAATGTTAGTATTAGTATTAGGTCTCTTCTATTTAAATATATAAATTTTTATATAATTATCTTGTTCATTCAATTAAAACGACAAATAATCTTGTATTATACGCATATTTCATTTTTTATTATTGATTAATAGCCTATTAATGTCCAGGACTAGCCCTTGTATATTAAAACCAAAATGTGAAACTGGGAGTCGAAATTGAACTTTGATTCTCTGTCCTTACATCATCATAATAATGATGACTTCATTGTAGATTTCCTATAAACAACAAAATTGGAAAACTACGCAATTTTATTTTTTGAATTTTATTAACAAATAAACCTTTAAACGATAAATCTAAGGGCTCCAAGTTTTAATGCCAATTTTATATCTGTGGGTAGATTATGACCTAGAATAATCTCGTTCGATTATATTAATATCTGATATGTTTAAGGGCATGACCCTTATCCCATATCCATTAGTAAAAAAGCGTAAAATTCATTTTGTACGCAATTCCAATATACAGTATGTGATATCTCATATTCAGGGATCCTTCAAATAGAATATAGTCTGTGTACACTTCTTTATCTTTTTGTCCTTTCAATGCTTTCTATTCCAATAAATTTGTGCTATTGTCAGTCATCGTTATTTCACACTAATATTAAATACAAAGTATTGATTGTTAAGGATATCTGTAAAAAAAAATTTATTTACTAAAAAAAATGATATATTTACTATATTGGTGAATTTAATCTACTTTTTGGCATCGTACTATTACTATGTTAAAAAAAATGGATCAGCACTAATGTTATTTATTATTATTATTATTATTATTATAACTAGGGTAATGATGAGTGGCGACCACCACCACCACCACTCATGATAAACACTTACTCATTTTCCTCAGCAATTGCGTTTGATTGATTTCTTAGACATTTTTACAAAAAAAAAAAGTTTGTGATTTGATCGACGTGTATGCCATTAATTAATTATCCTATTGGTTTTTTTTTTGGGAGGACAGACGCAAATTGTTTTTATTTTTTTGACAGAATCCAAGATGACAAAATGTGAGTGTTGTTGCTTGGTTTGGTTTGGGTCTCCTAAAGAAAACGTGTTAATAACTAACCAGAGGTACTTTTTTTTATTTGTATTGATATTTTTATAAATATTTTAATTGGAATCAGAACGCGGAGAAGGATCTTGCTGGGAATGAATGATTGGGAATTTACTTCGCATAATAATATTATTAATATGTATTTACAAGAAGACGTCAAGGCAATAATACACTGTTGACAGTCGTTAAAGCACGCTACCTTAAAGACTTTACACAGTCATTCTCATCTTCCTTGTCATGTTCATAAGGCTAATTTGACCGAGATTCTCATGATCATACAATGATGCAACATAATTCCAGGGGGGGAGTGCTTGGCCCTGGAGTTTACCAAGACTGTATCAATTGTCAATGACACTTTCACTAATTTTCCCTCACAACACCAGACCAGAGAAGGCTGCTGGACTCTGATGTTAAGAGGAAAGTTGTAAATAGTGTTTGTTTTGTATAATCATTTTCCTGAATGCTCTGTTTCTCTGATACTAACCAATTTATAATTTTGGGTAGGGGACTGGATGGGTTTTTGCCCAATCAGTCCTCTGTCCTATAGATTTAAATTATTGATTATATACATCTTTGTCAGCAATATGACCAACAAGAAAAAAGTCATAAAATGATTTGGATTTTGTTTGGTATGTTATGTTATAAATTAAACATTTTCATAAATTTTCTGTTTCTCTAATTTTGTTTGACCAACTGAACTTGATGTCATTTAATTAAATAGGGACTTCAGGGAAAATCCAAAACAACAACCCAGGTTGCAACATCCTGAATTGCAGATACCGACTTTATTCTAGAGAGGTATAACACAATGCAACCATCACACAAATGTCAACTATCATCAGCAATCAATGCCCATATGGTAACAGCCAGCCTGGTCTGAGAGAAAGATAGGGAAATGTGTTTTGTCCAAAGCCTTCTAATGTATAAGCTTAATTTTTTTCATTGAAAAGATTTGCAATTGTGCATGGTGGTGATAGGAAATTTTAGTTAAATCTGACACCTGCAATCATCAGATTTATTATTCATAAGCAATTTATTTTGTGAACCCCAGAGATCTGGGTAGACACATATTATTAAAAGTTTCATTTATGCATGGCCTTGGTATCATTACTACTTGGGTGATGCAATTATTTGTTATGTCAATGATGATATCAAATGTATCACATAATAATCATGACCATCATGAATATTTGATGGATGGAGGCATTCACATACAAGGAAATGAAGGAAATGATTAAATAGCTAAGTCATGTTTGTTTTGTTAAAAACATATGATTAATTATATGGGGCATACTGCAACAAAACCAGACAAAGTGAACATTGGCATTACCAAGAATTTCAGGGATCAAAATTTAGTCATTTGAAATGTGATTATAATTATCAGTTTTTATAATATCCCATTTGTTATCCTTTTAATATTAGGTGATACAGTCGAACCCTCATTTCAACGGACCTTGTTTCAACGGATTTTTGTTTCAATGGATTTTTGGTTTTACCCCTTGATTTTATTAATTAAAAAATTCTCGTTTCAACGGATTTTATATTTAAGGGTAGAGTGTAGGTAACACGAATTTCGACTATGATATGTGGATAAATTTTTTTGGTTGCCGATCACTAAACAATTAAAAAATAAAATAAAAAATATATGATGTATTTTTATTGACCAAAAAAAATAATACTTTTTAAATATATATTACTTTCTGTAATATTTCTTAATATCTTTATCTTTGACTACTTGGAAGCTATATCACATATAAATTAAAAAATAATTACAAATTTAGCAGAATGTTTATTAAGAATTATTACGTTTTCAATAAATATTTCCATTCTCTTGATTGAGCATCAACAATAGCACCATCTTTAAGTCCACAAATGATCAAATTACAAACTAAATTTGAGAAATTGGGATTTGGTTTTTGTAAAATAATATCACATACAACCAAGCCTTCTATTATTAACCAATCTAGTAGATGTAAAGCATCATCCTGTTTTTTTATTTTTCTGGGCCAGTTATCCTTATATATTTGTAATTCTGATAGATTTTTTTCATTTACAACCTTGTTTTTTGCTTGGCAAAAAATATACATAATATCCTGGCGAGAAGCTTCTTTTTGTTGATTATTCAAAAAATTAGTTACAGATTCTACAACTTCCAACATTTTATAAACATCAACATTGATATCACAAAGTATGGGGTTATCTTTTAAATAACGTAGACAATTATCACACTTATTGCATTGTTGAGAAGGTAAGTCACCAGGCTAAGCATAGTATCTGGATAACAATTGGTGGCGGCAAGTATAAATTTCTTCACAATAAAACATTACCTCATGTATTTTTTTTTGTTGATCTAATAAATATTGAATCCTTTCATCATTTTCTTCACTTTGAGAACTCAAGACACTTATTGAACTTAATATAAAGAATATAAAAGATGAGAATCAACTAGCTGATTTTTAGAATAATCATTAATAAATAACTACCTTTCTCTACCACTAGATGCAATTGAATATACACTCCGAATATCACCTCTGGAATAAAAAAGCACAGACTTTGCTGGATGTTTATCTCTTGCTGCTCTACCTATTTCTTGTATCATGTTCCCTTTTTAAAAATGAATTACAACGTTAATTTGTTTATTTGCAAATAATAAATGATTAATGATATTTACCTAAGTTAAGTGGAAATGTAACATGGATAATAGTTCTAATATCTGATGTATTTATACCCAATCCAAAAGCATTTGTAGAAATCATTATTTTATACTTTCCTTCCTTCCATTCTTGAATCAATGATTTTTATCAGACCCACCAATATTTCCATGGTACATACTTATTGAAATAGATTTAAGTTTTTTAGTAAGTTCATCATAAATACCTTCACAACTGTCAGGAGTAGCACAATATATTATAATTTTTCCTTCAACTACTTCTTCTATTAAATTGATAATATCTAACAATAATTTTTGTTTTTGACCCTTTTGTCGTACTTCAATATTTATTTCAGGCCTAGCAAAATTTTTACTTCGAAAAATTGTTAGATTTCTTAATGGAATTTGTAATGATTCACAGATACTGCTTGCATCTTGAAGTGAACATGTTGCTGTTAGTAACATTATTGGTGAATTAGGGAATAGCTGTCTCAATTGTCCAAGGTTTCTCCATGATTTTCTATGGGTAAAAATAAATAAATTAGACTGTAATCAATTATTATATATAAAAAAAATTTTTTACCTAAAATATTCATAAGTTATTATGCAATGTGCTTCATCTATTACAAAGCGCAGCCCTTTTGTTTCATATATTCTTTTCAACATTGCTCTAAAGCTTGGATTTAAGTCAAATTTTTCAGCAGTAGCAAAAAGAATTTTAGTGAACCCTGCTGCAATTTCTTCAAATACTTTAGACTGATATTCCAAAGACTGCCCTGTTTTAGAAT